CTTCCTTCCTTCCTTAAGCTGTATTGATCAGGTATATGCCACGGCAGTGAGGAGAGTAACTAATTCAACTAGCTGTGTGTGTCCAATTGAATTTTTTAAGCTATATTTCTTTTATGTATATGAGTGCTCTATCTGCATATACACTTGCATGCCAGAAGAAGGCATCAGATCACATTATGTGAGTCACCATGTGGTTGCTGGGAATTGAACTCAGGACCTCTGGAAGAGCTCTTCCAGAGCTCTTAACGGCTGAGCCATCTCTTCAGCCCATGTCTACTTAAATTTTAAAATAACATAATGAGACAAGATTAAAATTCAGTTCAATTGCACTAGCAGTATTTCACATGCTCATTGGACACATGTAAGAAGTGTACCACACAGATACAGATAACAGCATCATCACAGACAGTGGTGCCGCACAGGACAGGACCTTGCCCAGCTCCAGCAGTTATACTGCATCTATATGATAATGAGCTCTAATTGTGTACTGCCAACCTGACCCGATCTTTGGATTTGTACATAAAACTGCCTGTTTTGCGTAAGAGCTTGAATGCATCTGAACAGGTTATTTGAACTAAAATCCAGAATAGAACATTTCGTTTTTCATTCTCTTCCACCTTCCTCCACCCACAAAAGCATTTTCTCCTCCATTAGATGACACTATCTCACTGGGGTTTTAAAAATATGTTTCTTTTCAAATTTTTTGTTAATTTAATTCATGTGTGTATGTTAGTATGCACACTGTGTGCAGGTTCTTGTGCAGGCCAGAAGGCACTGGAGCTGTGACTGCACAGGCAGTTGTGACTGGGCTGATGTGGGTGCTGGGGAAAGAACCCTGGTCCTCTGCAAGAGCACCAAGTGCTCTTAACCTTATCCCTGAAGCTTCCATCTCACCAAGTTTGAAACAAAAAACTCTGGTGTTACCCTGATTCCTCTTTTTTCTTCATCTTCAATATCTAATCCATTTGCTTCATTAACCTCATTCATAAAATATGTTTCAAATCTATCCTTAGCTACATCCTCTGTCATATTGTCTAGTCCATAATTCTTGCCTGGGACACTGCCCTGCTTATGCAATACACCCTGCACCTACAACAGTTTGCATGCAGCCATGCTCAGATGCATAAGAAAACATGCTGACTAAATTGACACAGTCAATCCTGTACATTAAAAAAAAATCCAACATTGTAAAACCTTCAAAACTATGTCTGATAATAGATATTTGCCATAGAAACTTTAGGAAATAATTTTTTCCTACATTGTTGAGGAACAGTCTCACGCACACCCTGTGGACCTTACACATACTCTGGGGCTGAGAATGACTTTGAATTTATTACCCTCCTTTCTCTACCTACCTCCCACGGGCTGACATTAAGTGTTTAAACTACCAAGACCATCGCAAGAAACTCCAGTGAACAGATTCAAGAGTGACCACTTCCCAGGCACATTTATTGATTGGTGTGAATCAAACATCGTTCATTTTGTCAACCATTGGTATTTTTCTCTGGACTGCTTTCCTGGAGCACCGTGAATCTGTTATCAATGTGTCAGTATGACTCACCTCGGGGAAAACTTTTGTTGCTGCTACTTTTGGCTCGGCCTTAACTGTTCCAATTGGCCTGCTGTAGTTCACTGACCTCCTGAATATATTCTGCACTTTCTGTCACAGTCCACTTCTTCCAGTTGGGGTCAAACTATATTTTTTCTATAATTATAAGAATTATAATGAGGGGACAAGGGGATAAGGTAATAAGAGGTGTAATAGTATTCCTTCTATGGTAAGTTGTCCCTAATAATGGGGTTTGGGGCCTGGAGCCATGTAATTAGTGTATGCCCCACATCCACAATGCCTCTGTCAGTTTACAAACACGCATCTTCACAGCAAGCCAAACACCACAACTGTCTATGAAAACAAGCCCTTCTCTTTGCTTCCTCTTTATATCTACCCTCCATACAATGGCCAGTATTAGAATTTCACATCATACTCCATTCCTATCTCCACCAGCTTTGGACTCTGCTGCATTTTATGTATGGGAGACATAAATACGACTTAAAATAGTGAAAGAAAGTCTCCCAGGAGTGATTCTGAAAAGATGTATTTTTCTTAATACAGACCCAACGACCAACGTGACAACTTCTAAGATATACATCACCATGCCTGGCCACTAATAACCTCTTTTAAATGTGAAGCGAATCTTAGGTTGAAGCCACTTTGGAGAACAGCAGAGATGGTTCTGAAAGAAAACGACATGACACTTTGTAACTTTTTTTTTTGTTGTTGTTGTTTTTCGAGACAGGGTTTCTCTGTATAGCCCTGGCTGTCCTGGAACTCACTCTGTAGACCAGGCTGGCCTTGAACTCAGAAATCCACGTGCCTCTGCCTCCCAAGTGCTGGGATTAAAGGCATGTGCCACCACTGCCCAGCACTTTGTAACATTCTTGAGCCACTCTTTCCTCCTGTGTATGTTCGTGTGTGTGTGTGTGTGTGTTTGTGAGCATACACATGTGCGTGTGAGTAGGTCAGAGGTCAACATTGTCTTTCTCAATAGCTTCTCTGCCTTATTTTTGTTTTTAAGGATTTATTTTGTTTTAATGTGTATATGTGTTTTGCCTAAATTATTTCTGGGCACCATGGGTGTGCCTGCAAAGGTTGGAAGGAAAGCATCAGATTCCCTAGAACCAGAGTGGCAGAAAGTTGTGAGGCACCATGTGGGTGCTAGGACTGGAACCTGTGACCTCTGGAAAAGCAAGCAGTGCTCTTAACCCATTGCGCTAACTCTCCCTAGCCCTTGAGCCACATGCCGTATGTCTAAAATATGTCATTCTCATTGCATCCAAGTACAGACTTTCATCATATAAATAACCTCAGGCAAATTAACTTTTGCATAATCTATTTCCCTATTGTAGTTCAAAGAATAACATTTACTTAGGACCTGACTGTAAAGAATGAGGTTAAGAGGGATTGAGGAAAGAGCACATAGGTAACGTGCTGTGATGTCAACCAGATACAGATATAGTCAGGAAAGTCTCCCAAGTCGCCTGCTGACTCAGGAAGCAACACACCTGATTTTATAGGAAGCAATCCAGTACCTTCTGATACAGTATCACTTCCAAAAGCATTCTAGGCTCATGGTAAATATGATCATTAATCCGAACTGAATTTAACAGAGGGCTATATGATGCAGCATTCTTAGGCAGCCCGACTTGGAATTTCTGGTTTCTAATTCTAGACCTGATATTATTGTACTTAGGTCAAGTTGTAGCTCCTTTCTGGACCCGTCTGCATGCCTGACCTAGCCAATCTGTAACCCCATAAGGGTCTGAAGAAATATTTGTTGTCAAGAGGTTTTATTTTGCTGTAACTTAGGCTAAGAAAACACAAACGTATGCACAACTGGGATTAGAGTGGACAGTGGAAGCTTATCATTTCAGCGGAACACGGGAGGAATAAGCCAGGAATGCTTTGTGATAAACTTACCTGCAGGGCTATGTCTTACCCTCTTGCTACCCGAAGCCAAGGAGCTTCCACTCCTCTCAGGAATATGATATACCTTGAAGTGATCAGGATTCTGGTTATAGTTTGAGATCTGTGACATTGTCTAGAAATGTAAAAACGTGAATGTTGGGAAAGGGCGGATTTGAATGTTTCCCCTGCTAAGAGTATGCCTCTGACTGGCAGAATTTTTCAGTTCTGTTTGTCTTGGAACCCAAGTGTCTTGTATGCAGGAAGAAAGGAAGTAATGGTACGCCAGGAGCCTCAGGCAAAAGCTGGCAGGGCTGGAGCAGCTACTAACCCGAGGCTTTGTGGTCCTTCTGCGGAACATGTAGCCTGACCTCGCCACTGGTAGAAATCAAAGTTCTCCAGTACTTAACTTTCCAACTACACAACTCCAGCACAAACTCGGATAAGTCAACCATTAGTGTTCTCCGCAGGACATCCTGGGCAACTGTCCTTAGTTCCACCCACCACAAACAAACCCCGCCCACTGAGACGTCATTTACGTTTTCCAATCAGAGCCACACTTCTGAACTTTGACCGCCCAACCGGCAAGCTCCGCCCAGTGCAGATCAGCCCCGCCCACAGAGAGGCACTTTGTTCCTTGTTGGCGCTTTAGCGCTTGCTTGCAAACTTTAACCGCTGGCGCCGGGCATATACGCATGCGCCGTCCTTTGAATGGTGAGCGTTCTGATTCTAGCTGCCGCAGCCGGAGGACTAGCGATCTTGCTAATCGTGCGACTATGGGTCGTGCTTCGGCCCCATCACGTCATTCCCCGAGAGTCTCTGGGACTCCTGATAATAGCTGGATCCGGTAAGTACATGGGCGGAGGCCAACGGCCTTGTGCTAGGCACTACAAACCCCAGAGTGCACCGCGACTCTCTTTAGCCTTCTTAGCGCCCTTAGGAGCACTGCATGCTGAGATTTGTAGTTTCTTTGCGTTCCCGGAACTGGTCACTCCAGCCAGGAAAAATGCTGGTTAGCTGACGACACCCAGTCGCCTTGTCATTAAGACAGGTTATTTACGCGTCTCTGTAATTAAGCTTCTCTGTAGTGTACTGCTTTCTAACAAATAATTAGCGACGGAGTACGCTGAAGCCTTTTGATGCTGATATATTATTGCCCTCTTTGCTGCTGTGCGTTATTAATCTAGGTCTTTTGAATTTAGTTTAAGAAACGTGAACATTACATGGTAAACAAAATAGAGTTGTCGCACTTTTGAATGCGCAAAGTCCTTGAGGATAAAAACGTGGACACTCTATACGACAATACCTTCAGAGTGACAGAATATGAGTAATAAACTGTCCAATCAGCTTTGAAAATTTTAAAACTTAAAATTTTAGATGAACAGTTTTGATGTGTGTATAGTTATACAGGACTCACCTTTAAACAACCAAGGTGATACCCGAACCTATGTCAGTGCTATCTGGAATACAAGTTATAGCCTATTGCTCCAGGAACAATAGTAAAACAAAATCAAGCCTAACAGAAAATGATGCAGTCAAAACACGGTAAATTCGAGGTGTTTAAGGCTGCCTTTGCAGGGGGCCATACAGTTTTACAGTAAACTTTTAAAAATACACACTAATAAAAATACGTAAACTAGTAATGTAGTTGTGTATTACTTTTATCAAATGTTATGTACTGTATATAGTAGTATATATTATACTTTTTTATATTGATAGACAGCACAGTAAATTTGTATACTACAAACATAGATTACCCTGGGCTACAATGTTATTATGATGGTTCCCGTGTCACAAGACAATAAGGACTTTTCAGTTCCTTTTTAATGTCATGTGACCAGTATATTGTCATGACAAAAAAATCATTATGTAATGAGTATACACACACGCAAATAATATTTTTGATGTAAGCAAATGTACCAAACTTACACGCAATTATAATTCCTTACTTATTTACTTAACATATTTTGAGTCATGGGAATGGCCAGACACTACACTGAACTCTGGAAAGAAAACAAAACAAGCATCACTTTCCACAGCGTGATGCCTGTGTGCCGAGCACTAGGAAAAGGACAGAGCTGCTGCAGTGAAGGAAATAGGGATACCAACAGAAGATGAGACAGAGGAGTAGCTGCCACACAGAGAAGGACCAAAATCTCATATTAACTGTATAAGAAGTACAAGTTATTTCAAGCAGGATGCAAGGCCTCTGGGGACTTTGGAACACAAGTGAAATATTTATCACATATTTTTAAGAGGAATGCACTGGGTATAGTGTTGAAAATAATCTCAAGAAGTACAGGGAGAGGAAGTGGGGATATGATCTACACAAGACTGTAGTTAGAATTTATGTGACGGAGTGGCTTGGAGCAGGATGAGGTGGTAAGAAGTGACTGGATGGGTGGAGAGGTGGCTCAGCAGTTAAGAGTCCTTGTTCTAGTACAGGACCAAGGTTTGGGTCCTAGCACCCATATGGTGGCTCACAGCCACCTATAACTCCAGTTCCAGGATTCCTGTCTGGATTGAGTGGAGTCCTGAGTGAATGTTTATTGCTGATATGGTCATGCCCCGTGGGAGTGGCAAAGCCTTCTGTAGGTGAAGGGCAGAGAGATGACAAAGCCTTTCTTTGGTCCTAGTAGGAGTGTTGATAGAGTATGCAAAATATAGCTTTTACAGGCTGAGGACCTCTCCCCTACAGAGACTGTTCTACAGAGCTAAGCTTGCCTCCTTGTCCAACTGTACATAATAACCCTGTTTCCTTGTACAGCTGTATGTTATCATCTTGCCTTCCTGTACATAATAAACACCCTAAGCTTCTGAGGTCCTGTGGTTTCTGCATCAGAGAGCCTAGACCACACAGTCCTAGCTATTCTGTATGTGTGTCTGCATGTCTGTCCTTTCTTCATTCTCTCACTACCCAGTTAGGACAGATTCAGAAGTTATGCAGAACATGGCAGGATCCTACACCCTCTTCTGGCTTCCATGATCACCAGGCACGCAGATGGCACACAGGTATACATGCAAGCAAAACCTACATACACATTAAATTATGTATACAGTATATTATGTACACAGCGGCCTACCTGTATATAGGCCTGCAGGCCAAAGGAGGGCATCAGATCTCATTATAGATGGTTCTGAGCCACCATGTGGTTGCTGAGAATTGAACTCAGGATTACTGGACGAGCAGCCAGTGCTCGTAACCTCTGAGTCATCTCTCCAGCTGACATGAAATGCATCTTTAAAAGGTAAAAAATAAAGAAGTGATTGGATGCTGGGAGTATTTTAAGGTATATCTAATAGTATTTTATCAGTTTGTAATGATTTCTAGTATGTCTCTTTTTTAAAGATTTATATTTTGCCAAGCAGTGATGGCGCACGCCTTTAGTCCCAGCACTTGGGAGGCAGAGGCAGGCGGATTTCTGAGTTTGAAGCCAGCCTGGTCTACAGAGTGAGTTCTAGGACAGCTAGGGCTACACAGAGAAACCCTGTCTAGAAAAACAAAAC